ATCTAATCTACAGATAAGATATGGGTTTACCCTTATCACTTAAAGGGAAGTCTGATCCAAATATGATTTGGATCAGCAACTCCTAATGGGATTAGGAGTTGATCCTTTTAAAGTTATAAAAGGAGGAGGGGGCGGAAACCTTTAGAAGATACACATTCACATCCTCTTCAGAGCAGAAAACACAGAAAGAAGAATTCAGCAACCCTGCGAAATTCTTTCTTGTCGCCTCCTTCCTGCCACCGCCTCACCTGCCAGTTCGATCACCAGTTCAGTGGGAGAAATCAAGATTCGGTCTTGGTATCARTTCCTTGTGAAGGAATTGATAGGAAGTTGTGCCCACGTGCCATCCTGCTAATTCTTGCGAAGGATTAGGTTCTTGGAAAGAACACTGTTGATTCTGCTCCATCCTCCACTGCGCCATTTTCAGTGGGAGCAGTCTTTGGATCCTTCCTTGGGCGTGAACACCTTCGTTGGGAGATATTATTTCTCCGTATCAGGTATATCCCTCTCTCTCTGCTTTTGTTCAAATTTGATTCGGTTCATGGTTTAAGATTGATCCTTGAAAAATATGATTTTTCTAAAATAGGGAATACGATTCCCAATAGGATGGAGAGAAATTTTTGAAATTCGCCCATTCTATTCCGCAAGATTCGGGCGTCCATACGATGGATATCTCATCCCTTCATGACTAGTGTCTTATGCTTTCTTATTTTCATTCTTCAAAAAAAAAAAAAAAATTGTGCCAATATTCACAAACTGCCATCCTAGGTCTCCAATAGTCATTATTTACCAATTGGCGTAGATGTTTTATGAAAGTACTTTCATAAAAATGCTTTTATAAAAGTTCTTTTGTAAAAGAGATTTTATAAAAGTACTTTCATAACAGTGCTTTTATAAAAGTATTTTCCTAAAAGTGCTTTTGTACTTTCGTAAGTGCTTTCATAAAAGTACTTGTAAAAGTGCATTCATAAAAGTACTTCCATAAAATTACTTTCGTAAAAGTATTTTCATAAAAGTGATTTTATAAAAGTGCTTTCGTAAAAGTACTTCCATAAAAGTGCTTTTATAAAAGTACTTCTATAAAGTACTTTTGTAAAAGTGCTTTTATAAAAGTGCTTTTATAAAAGTACTTTTGTAAAAGTTCTATAAAAATGCTTTCATAAAAGTGTTTTTATAAAAGTGCTTTCGTAAAAGTACTTTTGTAAAAGTGCTTTCGCAAAAGTAAACATCTATGGCAATAGTTTTATAGGTAGAGTTTCCTCAAAGAATGAAATGAGCAAGATGGGGCATGATTATTTTTCATGCTGTAGGCTAGTCAATTTTTGTGCTATGGGGCTGATTTTTCATTCTAAAAAGAATGTGGTCCTTGGCAAGAATTTTGTAACCAAACACTCTAATGTTATTCATTCTTGCCCATTCTTACTTAGAATGAGCAAGAATTAAGAGAATGAAGCCCAGAGTAGTGAACCAAACATGACCAAAATTTTGAGTATGAAAATGGGAATTCAGCACTGAAACTAAGAATTAAACAAAGTCTGAATCAAAAAATTAAATGAAAGCCCAAATAAAAAATTAAGAAAAGAAACTAAAAATAATAAAAATATTATGGCTCAAGATTTGGAGATGGAACACTTACCGTAACCTGTAGCTTGAGATTCAACTCTCTTTCTTAATCCCCTTTGTCTTGACGCTTAATCTGGATAGATACCCTCAAACAAATGTAGCAATGCCATTCAATGTAGGAATCAGTGGTGGCGGCATGAATAATGATACTGATTTTGTTGTTCAAGGGAGAATGAAGGGAAATGCGAAGGAAAATAGGGTTTAGTGGGAGAAGTCGTGGAACGAGAGAAGGAGAGAGTCAAAAAATGTAGTGAAACAAGAGTGAGAAAGTTGTGGAGAAATATCTGTGGAAGAAAGTACAACAGAAAAGGAACTATGGTTTGAAGGAAAACCATAGCGGTCAGGGGGTCAAGAAATATGAGTAGAATGACGAAGTGGAATAACAGAACTACTATTTGAAATAGGAGGATCTTGGGCTAAAGCGTCACTTATAGGGGGTACAGAAGAGGAATGCTCTGGACTGGGTGGAAGGAGGGTTGTAGGCGCAAGAACCGGTAGTCACTTGCGGGTGAAGACGAGAAAATCTCTCTCAGTCGAGGAAGTAGTAGTGTTGTCTGAATCAAAGTCCTGCAAAATAGAGATGGAAAGAACAGACAATCTAGCAATCCCAACAAAGAACAAAATATGTTAAAGAAACACAACATTTCGGGAAATCCGAAAACGACGAATAGCARGATCATAGCACAAAAATCCTTTGTGGTCAGGACTATATCCCACAAAGGCACACATAGCAGATTGAGCAGTTAATTTAGATTGTTCACGAATAGGAAGATGTACAAAACAAAGACAACCAAAAACATGAAGACTAGAGAAATCTGGGAGATGACCAAAAAGTTTTTGGAAGGGAGAAGTGTTGCCGAGAACAAAGGAGGGAAGATAGTTGATTAAATACACAGTTGTACTGACTGCTTCTACCCAAAATGAAGTTGGAGTATGAGATTCCTGTAGTAATGTTCGCACAACATTGAGGACAAGTCCATTCTTCCGTTCAGCCATACCATTATGTTGTAGAGTATCTAGGCAATTGCGCTAAGATTGAATTCCATAACTCCTCAAGTAGGCCTGAAAGTCTCTGTCTCTATATTCACCCCCTGAATCTAAGCAGAGGATAGTCACATTGCATTTGAAGTGATTTTGCACCATACTATGAAATAATTTAAATGTGCTAAAGACTTCTGATTTGTGTTGTAGAAAATAAATCCAAGTATATCTGGTACAATCATCTATAAACAATACAAAGTATCTGTATCACAATCATGGAGTAATAGAAGTAGACCAAACATCACTATATATTATCTCAAAAGGTTTAGTGGCATGTCCAGAAGTGTGAAGAAATGGTAAAACATGACTTTTACTCAAACAACACACAATGCAAAAAACATCAAAAGTACGATCAAGAGGAATTTTATTCTTAATCAAATCAGAGTCAAACAAAAACTTTAATTTTTAGGAATATGGATGACCCAATCATTTATGCCATAAATCCCAAATATTATTTCTATAACTCAACAAAGAATCAGACAAAGAAGAACTAAGAAAAGCTTTGGATGCTCCTAATTGAGACTTCTCAAACTCCAGCATAAATAGATGGCCCACCTACGCCCCTCCCTTTTCACCTTCCCAGTGTACCGGTCCTGTATCAAGCAACCATCATGAGAAAATGTGAGAACATTTCCTTCATCAACAAGTTGGCCAACAAAAATCAGATTAGTAGTAAGGTTGGGGTACTAAGAGGGTTTTGGAGAGAGGGAAGGATCTAGTGGGTGACATTTTAAGGGGCAAATCATTACTACCAATGATGTATTACTTTTCACCATTGGCAGTAACAATATGTTCATGGTGAATTTTAGTGGATGGATTTGGGTGATTGAGGTAGGCTCCTATCATATGATTGGTGGCACCTGAATCTATAATCCAAGCATGTGAAGGGGAAGAACAATATGCAAAGAACTTACCAGACAAACCAATAGTAGAGAAAGAAGAGGAAATAGCAGAAGATACCAATTGCTGAACCTTTTCTTCATCCATGACAGCACTTGAATCACCTTTCATTGAAGAATCACCCTTGGTAGATACAGTGTTAGTTGCCTGATAGGCCCGAGGCTGAGTCTTTTTCTTAGAACCCTTAGCTGGTCTGATTGGACAGTTTGGAATGATGTGACCATGTTGCTTGCAATAGGTGCACACATTCTTCTTCTTACAGTGAAAATGAAATGTATCTAAAACCCTTACACTCATAGCATTGAGTTTTGGAGAAGTCCTTGGAGGTTGACTTCTTACCTCCATGAGCAACAAAGGTTGTTTTAGTCCCAACTTTAGTCATCTTCCCATCAAACCCGGCTATAGTGAGAAGTCTAGTCTCTTCCCTCARAAGTTCCTCTAAAACAGAATCCATATCTAGAAGTGTTCCCCTACTTAGAATGTTGGACATGATTATCTCATATTCAGGTCTAAGTCTCATCAAGAACTGAGTTACCTTCCTCTTCTCAAAGTGTTTTTGGAGATATTTCACACACTCTGTTGGGTCCGAGGGTTCAGTATGGACAATCTCATATTCAACCCACAAATCAAGAAAACCTAAATAATATTCCTATATCCTCCTATCTCCTTGGCTGTTGGCAAATATTTTTGATTCTATCCGGTACTGCTTAGATACGTTGGACTGTTGATAAACTTTTTCTAGATACAAGTACATCTCATAGGCTGTTTTCATTCTCCTCATAGGTACAGATATATGATAATCAATAGAACTCGGAATCCAAGAAACAAGCTTACCATTATCTAACTTCCATTGTTGTAAAGCCTTGGCCTCGATCTCAGTTGGTTTAGTGATTGTTCCATTCAAGTATCCTTCTAAACCTTTCCCTTCAACATAAAAGTCAAAATGGAACTTCCACATCCCATAGTTTTGTCCATTCATCTTCACAAGAATAATATCCCCTTTGTCTGAAGCCATTACAACAAGAAAATAGCAGAAAATAGGGTTCGACTGAAGTCTAAAGGAACTAGACTAAAGTAAAAACTGATCAAAATGAGTGATGTAAACAGTAATCGAATCCAAGAGAGTAAAAAAACTAAGAAAGAAACCCCTTACTTTCACCGGAGATTGTCCAAAATCCAGTAGAAGAAGAAAACTGCATACATAGTCCAGAAAAGGAAAGTTTGGATGCAGCCGCCTAGAAGAGAAGTTCAGATCTCTCTCAAAACTTCATGGATCTCAGTGAAACTTTCAGAGTATGTTGAGAAGGCCTAGGCGACAACTCCTTTTAAACCTTGCTGCAAATGGATGTCAAACGAGAGAGTTCCAATAAAATCTCTCTTTCTAGATGCGCGGGAAGCAAAAAAATGGTTCTTGTAAAGATCAAGATAGTCCAGGACCAATCGACAGAGGTGCAAGTTCTCACCGGATCAAGAAAACAAGGTGGATCAGGAAAAAAAAAAAAAGATAAAAGGGCAACTTGCTCTAATACCATGTAAACCGAATTGAGAGTAAAAAAGGTAACAAAATTAAGGGTGTCAAGAATAGTCGACCCCCACCCCAAAGAGCTTCTTTTATATTAAAGAGATAAAAGATATGTACAGTTACAAGAATGCCCTTACAAAGCTGAAAGATAAAAAGAACAAATAAAATAATAAGAATATGATACTGTATAACAAGGACTATTCTAATAATGTACATCCAGGTATATCTTCACATGGGGAAAGTGACATATAAACCTCTTCAATTAAGTCTCCATTTAACAATACATTCTTAACATCAACCTAATGTAATGGCTACTCATAACTCATTGCCAAGGACAACAAAATTCTTATTGAAGTCATTTTTACAACTAGTGACAAAGTCTCCATATAGGCAACTCCATATACTTGAGTATATCCCTTAGCTATTAGCCAAACCTTATACCTCTTAGTGGTGCCATCAAAATGGTACTTGATAGTGAACACCCACTTATATCCCATTGGTTCTTTTCCATGAAGCAAATCCATAATATCCTAAGTATTATTTTTGCGAAGTGCTTTTATTTTAGTTTTCATAGCCTCTCTCCACTATGGCTTAGACAAGGCTTCTATAACTAACTTGGGTATAGGATGTCACTCACTTACATCCCATTGCTTCCTTCACATGAGGCAAATCTATAGTATCCCAAGTATTATTTTTGTGAAGTGCTTTTATTTTAGTTCTCATTCCCTCCATTATGGCTTACACAAGGCTTCTATAACTAACTTGGGTATAAGTTTAGGAGAAGAGAAATGGAGGCCAGGAAAGAATAATAAAATGGGGATAAAAGGTTGTAAGATAGGTGTTTGGAAATACAATGTGTTGTACATTTCCTCTTACCTTTTCTTACAACAATAGGTAGGTCCAAGTTTGGGAAGGGAGGTTATAGAGCAGGTGGCGAGGGACTCATCCTCTCTTCAAGAGTTAAGAGTGTTTGAGGCTCAATATAGATGGGGGAACAACCTGTTTATGCCATAGTCTTTGTCTCCGATACCACCTCTAAAGAATAGGATGAGTAGTAAAAACTAGGGCCGCGATTGGCTGCAATGCAATTTCATTTGAACTAGTACAAATGTATGGGAGTGCAAATGAAACAAATGCAAATTCTAGTTTAACTTTATTTTGGGTTTTACTTTATTTTGCTTAATGTCTTAATTTACTTCATTTGTACTACAATCAAACAAATTAGTTTAAAATTTGAAACAAAAATGTGTTAGAATTTACACTCAAATCATTGGCATTGCCATAGTTTTGCATCAATACAAATTTGTTTGCATTGAAACCAAATACAGCTTAGAGGACTAATAAGAGGAGGAGCAAGAGTAGGGATGGCAATTTTCCCCATTTCCTCGACCCCCCTGGGGATCCACCCCGAATGGGGCAAGGATGGGGATGATTTCCCCCCGCGGGGACCCCGATCCCCGTTTCATGGGATCCCCACTAATATATATGTATATATGTATATATGTATGCATACATTATATATGTAAATATGTAAACATACATCTATATATTAATATTTTTAAAAATTTGGTTGAATATGTTTGAATATTTTCTAATATGATTGTAAATGTTAATTATTTTATTTTATTTTTTTAAATAAAATAAAAAACAAAAACAAAATGGTTAGCATTATAAAGAATCACGGGGAATGGGGATCCCCACAGGATAGGGATCCTTGTGGGGATGGGGATGGGGATGGGGATAACCTTATCCCCGTTAGTGGGGACGGGGACGGGGATGGGGAGAGGCTCCCCGTCCCCACGCCACCCCGTTGCCATTCCTAAGCAAGAGCAAGAATGGAAGAGTTGGAAGACAAAGGATCTGCCACTAGAACAGAAGGAACCATAGATAACAACCCCAAGTTCAATAGGAGCAGGCAAAGGAAGTGCTAAAGCAAATAACTCAATGGAATGCTCCTTCTCAGGAGAATGACCATAGAAAGGAAGTAAGTCAATAAATAACATCCATGGAGACAAAACGAGCTCCACTCAAGATCAAAGTATCGGTATCGGGTATCGTATCGGAAAATTCGTATACGGATACATGTACGCTTTGAAAACACATGGATATGAACAAAAGATATAGAAACGCTTGGATACGCTAGTGAAATGCATACAAATCGCATAAATACATTAATCATACTAAACCAAAAGCTGAATTATCTATGAATAAGATATAAACACATGAAAAATGTATACTTCAATAGGTTATATGAAGAGAAATATTACAATAAACAAAATTGGTAGAACATTCAAACATTGTACAATAATTATCACTCTTTCAATTTTATAATTATAATTTTTTACTTTTTATTATTTTTTGGGAATATTTATTAATTTAGTATTTTATTTAAATAACAACTATTTTTAAATAATAATTGTTTTCATTTTTAACATATAATGTTTTTATTTTACACAATTATAAATAAAACAAATAAATCATTTAAGGTAGATAAAATAAATTATATTTAATTTTCAATTTTTATTAAAATTTTGGGAAAATTAAATATGAAATTATTCATTTTAGTTTTTATAATTATAATTTTATATTTTCCATTAATTTTGTTGGGAAAAATTATTTATTTAGTATTTTTATATAAAAACTCTGTTTTTTCAAATAATAACTATGTTTTCATTTTTAACATATAATTATGTGTAAAATAAAATTATAAATCATCTAAGGTAGATGAAATGTATTGTTTTTATAATTTATAGTTTTTATTAATTTTTTTTGGAAAAATTAAATCTTAAATTATTTATTTTAGTTTTCATAATACTATTTTTTAACTTGTATTAAAGATGAAAAAAATCCAAAAGTAGTCAGTGTACAATTTTGTCAAACTAGACACTGATACACCTCCATATTAGTGTGTATCAGAGTGTATCTATCGATACAGTGGGATACGGCCCGATACAGAAGCATATTTTACCGATACACGCGACTTCTAGGATACGTATCCAGTCATAGATTATCCTATATCCATGATCATGGATATGGATACGATACACCCCGTATTGGAAGTATCGTATCGATACATTAATCCTTGGTTCCACTATTAGGATCAAAACAATAATAACCCTTTTGTGTAGAGGTATACCCTAAGAAAATGCACTTTTGGACCTTGGGTTCAAACTTATGTCTCTAAGAGCTAGGAACATGAACATAACATGTGCAACCAAATTCAAAAAAATAGGGAACATTTTTCACTCTGGAAACATAACAACAAAGGGAGATTTGAACTATAARACTCAAGAAAACATGTGATTAATAAAGTAGGTGGCTGTCATGATTGCATAACCCCAAAATCTCACTTCTGGACCTTGGGTTCAAACTTATGTCTCTAAGAGCTAGGAACATGAACATAACATGTGCAACCAAATTCAAAAAAATAGGGAACATTTTTCACTCTGGAAATATAACAACAAAGGGAGATTTGAACTATAAAACTCAAGAAAACATGTGATTAATAAAGTAGGTGGCTGTCATGATTGCATAACCCCAAAATCTCACTGGAATATGGGAAGCAAAAATGATGCTCCTTGCTACTTCAACAATATGTCGATTCTTTCTCTGTCACCCCATTCGCTCTATAGTATGTGGACAAGAACTCTAATGTATAATCCCAAACCTCTTAAAGTATGAAACAAGATCATTCTCAAAATATTCTTTAGCATTATGATTTGATCAGAATATCTTGATGCGAGTACCAAATTGGGTAAGCACAAATTCRTGAAACTACTTCACTAGTTTAGGCATGTCATCATGGAATCACACAAGGTAAAGCCAGGTGTAACGAGAAAAGTTATTAATAAAAAAAATAAAATATTTACAACCACCCATGCAAAGTAAATGATATGGCCCCCACACATCAAAGTGCATAATATGAAAAGGAAGTGTATATCTTTTATTACTTGTAGAATAAGAACTTCTATAGTGTTTTGACAACTCGAATGACTCACAATGTAAAATTGACACGTTAGTTTCCTTAAATAAAGCTGAAAACAAAAGACTCAATGAGGAGAAAAATATGACCCAAACGATAATGACAGAACATCATACGATTGACTGAAAAACATAGTAAAAAGGGTCACATTGCAATTCAAAGATTTTATCAAATTACTAACTGAAAGCAAGTTAGTATTTAATTTAGGAACATGAAGAATTAAGGATAAGGTGAGGGTATTTAAAGCTTTGATGTTTCCCTTGCCAGAGATACAAGCAAGGGAGCCATCAGAAAGGGATCTTATCTCAGCCATATAAAAATTTTGTAAGAAGAAAATAAATGGGACACACTAGTCATATGATCAAAGGCACCATAATAAATTATCTAAGGGATTCTACAATTACTTGAGATAGAAGCATGATTCCTAGTAGCACGAATACCTGAATGGGAATATGTAGTTGAGGAGCCATTTCTAGTAGACTCTAAGTGGCTAACGAATAGTCCATACTTTTCATACTCTACTCTGGCAGCCACTAGTTGTTCCCCCACTAACTTCTTATCACTAGAACCCTTTTCAACCTCAAAAGAAGTGGCTACATTGGCATTGCCACTCTTCTTACCATTATTGTTATTCTTGAATGTAGGAGTTATAATCTCTACATGTAGTTTCCAACAAGTATCCTTTGTATGCTTAGATTTCTTGAAATACTCACATACTATTATCTTTCTTCTTAGTACCAGCCCTTGGCTTCATCCTATACTAAAAGAAAATTGACTTTTAGCGGTAGTCAAAACTGCCGCTAAAGGTTTATCGGCAGTTGGAAAACTGCCGCTAAAACTATTATATATATATATATATATATATATATATATATATTTCACACCTGCCCAAATAACCTGAAATTCGTTCAAAATAACTTGTAATTATTTTTAATTACTAAACAAGACTTCAATTTGCTTCAAATAACCCATTTTATATTCAATCATCCAAATTGAAATGAAATAAAAAAAAAAACAAAAATACAAATTCCATTAATTCATTTTCAAAAATACAAATTTCGTCCATTTATTCTTAAAATATCAAGCTCAATTCAAAAGACTTCTTTACAAAAACATCTTCGGCTTCTCCCAAAAACTTCTTTACAAAAATTGGGTGGCACCATGGGTATCGAATCCACGGTTTTTGAGCTCTCTATACTCTTGACACAGGGCACATGACTCGCAACARCAATGAACCAAGTAGTCGACACAAGGGCTCTCCTTCAACAAGTACTGCTGCCTCAGCTTTGAGCGATAGAAGCATGAGTCCGAGATGGGACAACCAATCACGAATGAGATAAGGGTGTAAAGCGCTCCGTTGGTTACACAAGCTGCACTCATCCCATCTTTATTGTTAGCATCATTTCAAATTTGGAAACCCAGAAACCCAAAATTCACAACTTCATCATCATCAGAACAATTTGATTATTATACTCACAGGAGGTTCCTTTGTCGATTATCTCCGAGATCTGGCCGAAGGTAATGCATGGGCACCAACATGTCACGCAACCTGTTAAAAATGGTGGAGAGACATCAGGTTGTGAAGAATTAAATTGGACCAATTTGGAGAGTAAAAGAAGATCAGAGCTAGATAAGCCATAATTCTTATATTGTTGAACATCGCCGAAGCAGTCGCAGAGACCAGTGGACCAATCGACAGGGGCTTGAACTTGAACCRAAATGGCAGGCAAGGGATTACTCTGACTGTATGATAACTTTTGCTTTGAAAGAATTTTGATTGAATAGCTCAATGCCTTTTCATTCTGATTTCCTTGAATATATAGCTGAATATACAGTAATTAAAGGCTGATTTATCTCTACCTACAACTATACTGATTTACAGAGATTTAAGGTTGATTTATCTCTACTTACAGCTATACTGATTTACAGAGATTTAAGGCTGATTTATCTCTACCTATAGCTATACAATCTTCTTATGGAAAGATAATAAATGTTTGCTCTATATGGCAACATCCCCCCTCAAATTGATGCTGGTTGATCAAGAAGCATCAATTTGCCAATAAGAAATTGATGGCATTGTCGAGTAAGAGACTTGGTAAACACATCGGCAATTTGCAAAGCTGTGGAAACATGTGGAAGAGAAATAACTCGAGTATTTACAGCATCTCGAATATAATGACAGTCAACTTCAATGTGCTTGGTGCGCTCATGGTAGACTGGATTAGTAGCAATTTGAATAGCACTAGTATTATCTGCATGTAGAGGAGTGGGATTAGATTGAGGAAATCCAATCTCAATCAACAATCCTCAAAGCCAAGTAATCTCAGAGCAGGCAGCAGACATAGCCCAATATTCAGATTCAGTAGAAGATTTAGAGACCCGATCTTGTTTCTTACTCTTCCACGATATCAAAGAATCCCCAAGAAACATATGCCAACCTGTAATAGAGCGACGAGTATTTGGACAACCAGCCCAATCGGCATCACTAAAAGCACTAAGGCATAGAGAAGACCCAGTGGGAAAAAATAAACCACGACATGGAGTACCCCGAAGATATCTTATGATGCGATGAACTGCAACCAAGTGAAGATGACGGGGAGAGTGCATAAACTGACTAACTTGCTGGACAACAAAGGAGATGTCAGGTCTGGTAATAGTAAGGTAGTTTAAGCTGCCCACTAATTGTCGATACAAAGATGGATCAGTAAATAGTTCTCCCTCATCCGAGTGGTACTTGGCATTCACTTCGAGAGAAGTATCAACCAATGAAGAATCCTGAAGACCAGCCAATGCAACTAAATCTTGAGTATATTTATGCTGATTGAGAAATATACTAATGGAGTTAGATTGAACTTCCAATCCCAAGAAATATGTAAGGTGGCCAAGATCCTTCATATGAAAGGACTCTTGAAGACGCTGCTGAAGCTGAGCAATCAATAAAGAATTTGTTCATGTTATAACTATGTCATCAACATAGACCAAAAGAAGGACAATTCTAGTAGAAGTTTTATGAAGGAATAGAGAAGAGTCATATTGACTTTGCACAAACTTAAACTGTAGCAAGGTAGATTTGAACTTCTCAAACCATGCACGGGGAGCTTGTTTTAAGCCATACAATGAGCGATTCAACTTACAAACTTCCAAAGTAGAAGATGAAAACAAACCAGGAGGAGGTGTCATGTAGATATCTTCTTTGAGATCACCATGGAGAAAAACATTTTTGACATCCATTTGTTTAAGTGGCTAACCTTGTGAAGCAGCAATGGCAAGGATTGTTCGCACAGTAGTCATTTTAGCCACCGGAGCATATGTTTCCTCATAGTCCACCCCATACTCCTATCGATTACCAAGAGCGACCAACCTAGACTTATAGTGCTCTAGAGTCCCATCAGAACGAAGTTTCACTGAGTAAACCCACTTACACCCAATAGGTTTAACTTTGGGTGGACATGGAACAATATCCCATGTATGATTATCCTGAAGAGCTCGAAGTTCTTCTTACATTGCTTGTTGCCAACACTCATGCTTAACTGCCTGTGAGTAAGAAGATGGAACTGAAACAGAGGACAAAGCAACACTAAAGGATGTATGATAGGAGCCATACCAATTAGGAGGACGGGAGACTAGTGGAGCGTCTCAAGATTTCCAGGGCAGGATCAAGTGACAGATCTGGAGTCGGAAGGGGCGGTGGTGAATGACGTCGTTCATACACATATCCAGGCTTGAATCGTTCAGGAGAAGAAGATGATTCATCAAAACTAGGAAGAATAGCAATATTGGAGAATGACTGATCACAAGTTGGAAAGAAAAACTGATTTTCAAAGAAAACAACATTGCGAGAAACACGACGGAGCTTCTTAGAAGAAGAATCATAACAAACAAAACCTTTATGATTTGTACTATATCCCATAAATGCACATTTAATAGATTGAATAGAAAGTTTATGACGCTCAAGAGGAGGCAAATGAACGAAACAAACACAACCAAATGTATGTAAATGCCCATACTGAGGATGTTGTTGATAAAGACGAAAATAAGGAGACTCAAGGTTTAGAGTTTGAGAAGGCAGTCTATTAATAAGATAAACTGTTGTAGATAAAGCTTCTACCCAAAACTGAGGGGGAACGGAAGACTCAAGTAGCAAAGTACGAGCAACTTCTAAGAGATGACGATTCTTTCTCTCCGCCACACCATTTTGTTGAGGTGTGTATGGACAAGAACGTTGTGAGAGAATACCTTTTTCATTTAAAAAATCATGAAGTGCATAAGACATGTATTCTCTACTAGAATCAGATCGAAGAACTTTGATGACAGTAGAAAATTGAGTTTCAACATGCACAACAAAAGTCTTGAAGACCGGAAAAACATCAAATTTGGAACGAAGAAAATAAATCCAAGTAAATCGACTATAGTCATCAATAAATGCCACAAAATACTTATAATGTGCATGAGAAATAACGGGTGTAATCCCCCATACATCACTATGAATAATATCAAAGCATTTATCTACACGACTACCGATAAGAGGAAAAGGAAGAATTTTACTTTTTCCCAATTTACAAGTTGAACAATCAAAAGAAATGCTTGAAAATTTATTATTATTGCCTAATAAACCAGAATTCAACAAATAAGACAATATAGTAGAATTGGGGTGTCCCAAACGTTTATGCCACACTTCATTTTTATTAATAACAGCAGAACATGCTAAAGAAACATTACTAGGAATGGAAATGTGCAGAGGAAATAAACATCCGACTTTAGGCCCCTTCGCGATCACCGTCCCCGATTCCTGATCCTGCACACAACAACCATTACGAGAAAAATGGACATTATAGTTATTTTCTACTAATTGGCCAACTGAAAGAAGATTATCAGAAAGTCCACGTGATATAAAAGCATTGTTGAAAACCGGAGTAATATCACCAACACCAGTAATGGGCAAATGATTTCCATTAGCAACTTGAATATTTTCTGAACCCTGATAGGATCGGACATTTTGTAGCAAATTAGCAGAACTAGTCATGTGATTTGATGCAACAGAATCAACAAGCCAAGACTTAGATAAAGAATTACCATTACCTTGGAGTCTCAGAGCTGAGAGGGCTGAAACTATCATTTGTTGCACTATTTCAGGAGTAAGAACAGTGAATTGAGCAATTTGATTGATTGTTGACATAGTTGAGGGCCCAGTTTGAATCTGATCTATAGAAGAATTGCCAATTGTTGCCTGAAAAGCAGTGTTTTGACGATTTTGAGGGCAAGTTAAACAATCTTTGATGATGTGCCCATGCTTTTTGCAATAATTGCAAAATTTCTGGGTACAATTTGCTGCAATATGCCCATAATTCTTGCAACTAAAACACTGAACCTTATTCATATCTTTTCCCTTGCTTTTTCCGTGAGCCGAAAA